ATTCACAATAGCCAAAATGTGGAAACAACCCACATTTATTTATTCATTGACAGGTGAATAAATAAAGAAAATGTGACACACACACACACACACACAATGGACTATTTTCCAGCCTGAAAAACATTTATGCAATATGTGACAACATGGATGAACCTTGAGGACACTACGCAAAGTGCAAAAAGCCAATCACAGAAGGGCAAATATTGCATGAGTCCACTTTACAAGGTATCTAAAATAGTCAAATTCATGGAATCAAAGAGTAGAATGGTGGTTGGCAGGGGCTAGGAAACCTGCTCAAGTGCTATTCAACTCAAGGTGTCTGGACTGTAGATGCTGACAACTTCCTTATAATGGGATGATGTATATAAGAAGAATAGGAAATTCTCTACAAGCAAAATATATACATAAACACTTCCTCTTTGAGTTGAGAGAGGAATGCACACTAAGAAATAAATATTTAAATAAAATAGTTGGTTAATTATGCCCTGTTAACTCCTATTTTGACTTCAAAATGGGGATAGCATAAACTTACATTCTGATATTTTTCATTAGTTTGAAACTGAGAAGAATAGAAGGGAAAAGCAAATATCCTTCATGTTTCCTCCACTTTGGACTTGGAGCCTGATTTTACAGACCAGGACTCCAAGTTTCAGACCCAGAAGAATTAAGATGAAAAGAGAGCAGTTATCCAGGGCAGATCTCTGCCATGCACTCACTGAATAGATGAGGCCAAGTCACAAGGGAACAGCTTTGTCCTCAGCCTAAATATTCTCTAAAAGAGAGCAGAACTTTTTTTGAATGAATTCATGAAACAGAGGCATAGTGAGTCATTTGAGTAAAGGTGGGGCTATTCTCCAAAAAATGGGGGTATGTCAGCAAGGCCATTAAGAAAATTACTACAAAGAAATATAGCTGGAGTAATTGATCTGGATCACTAAGAGGGTCAAGTTGAACATATCAGTATTTTGTGATCCTATTAGTCAGTCAAAGATAAACACAGCACTTTAATCAAGGGTAACTGAATTATTGCTATAAGTCCAAGACTTAATACCATAGCAAAATACCAGTTGAACCACAAAAATTCCCCTAAATATTTAGAACATCTTTAAAACTATTCTGTAAATTAAAATGAAATTATTTTCATGTTTATTCACAAATGTCTGTCAAAGTACTTATGGGTTTGGTATATACCATATAGAGAGAGAGAGGCTGAAAGATAATTTATGGATATTTATAAAGATAATATATGCATGATTTAGAAAAAATATATAGTCTGAAAAAATTATTTATAAAAATGCACATACAGTCTGAAAAATTGTTTCCTCATTGTTCAAGATAACAGAATTCCTTACTTTATGCTTTATAATTATGCTTATTTCAAATCTTTACAAATAGAAAACTTTACTGTAAAACACCTTAATTTTCCTTTGTTTTTTAATTAAAGGTGAACAATAAAAAATCCATAGGAAAAAATAAATTTTAACCAGTTCCTTTATGTACACAACATATGTACATTTGTATATCTCCTTGATAAGTTTAAGAAGCCATTCACCTATAGTGTATGTAACACAATGAAGATAAAACATGGGTTACAGATGTTATTGTAATGCGACTTTCTCTTCTATGTTTCACAATGTTTGTCTTCCTTTCTCATAATACTTTTCTAGCAATTGTTAGCTGCTAATTGTAAATTTCAAAAAACTCCCAATCATCCAAATAGACATATAGACACTGGTTTGTATTAAAATAAAATTTGTGCACTTTAGGCTTTAATAATATAAATGTACAAAAATGATTGCTAATCTATTAATGTTTAAATTGTGTAGATTAATATGCTCCTGCTGTTACAACTCATGGGTGTTTTGAGAGGTAACCAAGTTGAATACACCATTCCTGCCAATGCAAGGATACTTTTATTACTGATGCTAAACCAGACTTCTCTCTAAATATAAGTAACGTAATGATTTGAAAGAGTTAAAATTCTTTAAAAATGCAGTAATTAATACTACATAAATGACCTTCTAAATCCCTTTCTAAGCAAATGTTTATGAGATACTGGAAATCAAGATATAGAAAAACTAACCTGCAAAATGGAACAACCTCACTCTAATTTGTGGATTACAGCTCCTTCCTGATCTATACCAACAGATTATTTTTAAAGAGCTCATCACTCATATGGGAAAAAAGCATGTATTGAAAGGAAATTGTGTAGAAGAAAACCATCTTCATAAAATGAAAAAAGCACTGGCTTGCTAGAGAATGACACAGAATCCATCAGTAAAATAAAATACCTGTCTCAGAAAACAAAGATAAAAGCTGAATGCCTTCATAAAGTAAAAAAGGAGATGAAAAACCATGCTATGTTATTCAAACTCATGAGTCCTGGAGACAAAAGAAAGGTCATTGACAGATACTATACATCAGCTGTGGTGGAGGTAGTTACCCAGACTGAACACTGAGGTCTAGGGAGTCAACACTGTCCTGAATGGTTTCAGTCCAACTGGCACCTGATCAGAGATCTTTCCTGGCCACCCTCTCAACTCATTCACCCAGCCCAGCAGCAACATCCTCTATCCTTACACCCTGTTAACTTCCTTCAATACCCTTGGAACTTTACCATTTCCCCCACTACTCCGGGAGAGCAGAGTTCACTTCAAATTTGTTCACTGCTATATTCCCTGCATCTACCATAGCGCCTAGCACATAGTAGCCATGCAAAAAAAGAGTTACTAAATCAATTTATAAATGTTCTACTGCCACAGTGGAAATGCCTAGGCCTGACTGGCCCTAAAAAGATAGGGTTTAATTCCCTAAGGACAAATTTTTGATCTTTCACCTCATCATCACAGTGCTCATGTCAACTGACTTCACAGTATCACTGAACTCAACATTGTGGAAAATGTTAACAGACTTTTAACAGGATCACAAAATTAAATGCAATAGTTCTCCAAAAATAAAAAGCTGGCCTCAAATTCCAAGGAGAATCTATGATTCTATGAGACGGGTTTTCTGTATCATGGATATGCTAAGATATTATAATGTTATGGAAAGAAACATTCCTTTACTGATGAACTTCAGGTGTTTTATACTTATTGCAGAAACAAAAATAAATTGAGCTGCCATTTGTATTTCAAATACAGGTGTAATATTTTTTAAACTCCTATTAAGTATCTAAATCCTAATTAAATGTGATTAATTTATCAAAAAAATTTGAAGAGAAACATGAATTAATATACTGTCTCATTAAAATGTTTTATGCCTTTAGTAGTCAAAATTCCAACAATCCTACTTGGAATACTTATGTCCTAATATATTAGTCTAGGGTAGGCCATACGTAGTAATAATTATTATGAAATAAGAACATACTATCCACTAGGCATATAAATGTACACACACACACACAATGTCATTAGAGTCTCATAATTTCATGAGATGACTGCTTAGAACCCTGTTTTACATTTAAGAAACTTGACTCTGATGAGTTAAAAAAGAAAAAAGAAAATTTTGTCTAAGGCCAAGTGGCTTGTAAATGGTACTTTGCAGTTAAGCATGACTCTATGGAACACACCACAATGAAATGCTTTGATCAGCCAAGCAATAGTCTAATATCAGAAAAATATATATAGCCAGAAAAAATAAGGAAGAAAAATCATCAGTCATTTTTAGATACTGAACATATAGGTTCCACAAAGCAAAAAACATAATTCTTCCACACTTTGTGCCTCAGATAGCTTTGTTAAACTCAGCCTGAAACCTATCCCATACCTCTTTTCTTTGAAAAAAAATAAAAATCTTTTCTAAGTTACAGACATCATATCTTTAAAAGGGGCATTAAAAAATGTGAAAAAAGATTGTAAGTGATTTTATTATTATCAATAAAACTCCAAATCCCAAAGGTGCACTGTGGACTACCCTGTTGTTGGGAGGTTGGCTGCACACCTAATTAAGGCTATTACAGCCCACAGATAACCAGTATTGTGAAGGTAGATCCTGGAAAGTGGGAACAATTCATACAACATCTAATTTATTTTCTTTGTCCTCCCAACCTGCTTGGATTGAATGTAGGGTTTTTGTTAGTTTCTTTTTTCTTTTCCTTTTTTTTTTTTTTGGTGCCAATTTCATTGCTCTTTTAAACACATCAGCAAATAGACACTTCATATCCTGTAACCATTATACATTCATCGAAGCAGCTTTTTCTTGAGTCCAACAAAATGGTCTTTTTTTCATTTACGATCTTACTTGTCTTGAATGAACATTGACTTTGTGTCCTTCCTAACAGATGACCATGAAGCCTGACACAGGTTGCTTAGCAACTGCCTTATACCCAGAAGTAGAAATAACTCTTTGATATACTCACTATGTGTATTTCTCCTGATTTATTTCATTTGTGTTTAACATGGTAGATCAAACAGACTCATTAGAATTCTACTAACACCCCCAAGGGTAGCAGAATTCCTGGTACACTTTAAACTAAAGTACCCAGAGATCAAAACATCTTACAAGTCATCACAGAACGGTACTGCAGAGTAAAAGAACAATAAAATACACTGTGCCCATTACCAGGGACAAGGTGCATACATTCTCATCAGTGCTAGCACCATGATATTCTTTGAGACTTGAAAAGAATTCTCAAATTGTTATTGTAACTCTCACTTTTTGCAAAATGATAAAGGACTCTATATTTCCCATTATGTTCTTTGCTAAAACGTCTTTGATATCCTGAAGGACAATCCATTGTTCTAAAGCATGATGTAGTGTAATTCATCATGCGGCAAGAACAATACTAATCACCCCTCTTGTTTGCATCAACCATCACTCTTCAGCCCTCATGTATCTAATCCCATCTAAATTCATTTATATTATTCGTGACTTGTTTACATAGAAAGAAGTCAACCAAATGTGCAGTGTACTATACCTCAGAACAAAAATCGATGCAGAAGGGTCCTAGATCTAAAATTCAAAAATTAAGGACTTAAAAGGTGGGTTAAAGTTGAATATTTTGGCACGACGGCTCCTACCTCAGCAAGCTGCTCATCACTCGCGCCCAGCAGGACCACTCGGGCATGTACATCGGCCTGGACGCCAACACGATGGCTACAGCTTCTGCAGCCCCTTCCTCACCCTGGGGCCATACCCAAAGTCGCTAGGGCCACCCGTGGACCCCTCGTCCTCAGCCACGAGGCTACTGTGGCCCGTGATCATCCTGGGCACCCATCCTGGGCACGGTGCTCCTGTGATTCTGCCAGTCCAAGAAGAAGCCGTGCACGCCTGTCCCCGCGCCCTCTGTGCCCACACACCGCAAACCAAACACTGCACACCAAACACCTGGGACCTCCAGAGACCGCGGCAGGAGCAAGGACCTGCCCCTGTCACCAGCCCTCCGGGGCTGTGTGAAGAGTTTGGGGCCCGGTGGCCCCCCAGCACCTGCTGGGCCCTAGGTCAGCTGCCGGCCCCAAGCTTTACCCCAGACTCTACACAGACATACGCGTGTGCATGTACAAGCACACACACTCACACACAGTTGCACACACTGACGTCTCACAGTCACACCTACACACCTGCGTCTGTAGCTTCGCATATTTATCTTGTTAAACAAGAATATGTGCATCCTTTTTCTCTAAAAAAATTAATATTTCGATTCAAATATGTAATTAATGTTAGAATGTAATGAATATTAAAACTTATAATATCAGTAAAGGTTAGAATTTTTATTAAGGAAATCAGATTTTTATAAGCTTTCTGTTTTTAGAACAAGTTTAAAAATTTCAGTGTTCTGGAAACCTGCAAACTTTTTTATTACCAAAGGAAATAACAAGTGAAAAATCTTTTCAAATTGTAAAAAGTCAATTTAGAAACTATAAAGTTTTTAAAATAGAAATATCAAGACAAAAAATTCACCCAGTCACAAGAAAATATTTAAGGGGCTATTTTATTTTAGACAACGATTTAAAAATCACCCAAATATTTATGAAATACAGACTAAATAAATATAGCTTGATAAATTTAACAATTATATAGTGGAATACTCTGCAGGAGTTTTTGTGTGTTTTTTTTCCTTTTGTTAACGATGTAGATCTCTACTAACTGATATGAAGTCATTCCCAAAATGAACTGCAAAGTGAATTAAATGGGGATAGAGCATTGTGCTATTATATGTTACATTTGTGTTCAAAAGGGGAAGTTTAATATGTGTATGTTAGTGTAATTCTATATATGTATGTTATCGTGTATATATGATATAATCCTATATAATAAAGAGCTAATATGCTAATAGTCGTGATGCCCTCATGCTGTAATATATAATGAACAATCAGCAGGAGGCTGCGTGCATGGCAGGCGCAGGTGGGTGGGGACTTGACCCTGTGTCCCCACCCAGTAGCAGCTGGGGACATGATGCTGCATCCCCCACCGTGGGGCCTGATGGGGGTGGGGCCAGCGGGTCTGGGTCTCGCCCAATGAGGGTGGGGCCGGCTGGGTCTGGGTCTCTTCCCTTTTAATGTGCACAAATTTTGTGTACCGGGCCACTAGTATATGTATAATATAATATCTCCAGTATATATACATAATCTATATATATAAAACCCTAAGCCACCAGACTACAGGAAAACCACAGGACCAGCCAGTAGTTAAGACATGCACTGACCACCAGGGGGCAGATGCTCAACACAGGAGCTGCCCCCTAGTGGTCAGTGCGCTCCCACAGCAGGAGGGCCACTCAGCTGACCGAACAATGGGTGCCAGAGGCCAGGCTCACAGCTGATGAGCACAGCTGCTGCAGTGCCAGCCTCTCCTGCAGATACTCCCCCTGCTTGCCCCACCCCCCTCCACAAGCTGGCGGGTAAGGCAGGGCTGCGGCCACACAGAGGTCCACTGAGCCCTGCAGGCCAGGCTGAAGAGCCCCACTGGTGCACGAATCTGTGAACCAGGCCTCTAGTAATAACAAAATATCTCTAGAAGAATATACAAGGGACTGGTAACAATTTTTGCCTTTGGGAACTAGAAATATGGATAAGAAAAAAACTTATTTTTCACTATACATTCAGGGAAAACATTATTCCTCTTTTTGTTATGGTCATGTGAGATGTCAAAGACAGAAAGGTGTACAATTTATTTTACTTATTGACAAAGAAACAGTACATGATACATCGTGCCCACTAGATCCCAAGAAATGCCATGGGTTTATCAAGAAAAACAGATTCACAGTAATAAAGCAAGGAGCCAAGGGGAAAAAATTAGATTATGTCATTTCCAGTCCAATCTTCTACTCACTAACCCAAATGCCAGCAAACAGAATTAATGAGATTTCAGAATATTAAAGAATAGTACTTTTCTATGAAGTATTATTTCTCTTGCAACTGAAAATTGGCTTTTCAGAACTCTAACAAAGGAAGACTTAATAAGGAATTATTCTAAATCAATGCAAAAGATCAAAATTTATTTTCAGTGAGCTAATTATCACATGTGGCTTGACTGGGAACTAAACCATGACCTGCTGGCTCATAGGTCGACACTCAACCATTGAGCCATGCTGGCCGGGCTCAACACTTATTCTTGAAGGATGCTATAAAGAAAACAACATAGAGACATTACCTTGGAACTTATTTTCCAGGAAATATACAGAACTTAGTTCCTTGAATCTGTGACTGGAGATGTCACTTAAAGTTAGATTTGTTCAGTTAAATGTAATCTAAGAAAAAACAAAAGAATAGTCAACCCAAATTTCTAGATTAATTTTTTGGATAAGTATGAACTTAACTTTATTCATTATCATAAACTGTAATGATTAATCCTAAAGAAAAGGAACACCCAGCATTGTAGATAGAGCACTGGACTGGTATCATTGTGACCCTAAGCAACTGATTGAATTACTTACCTAAAATTGAGAGAGGTAAGGAAAAGAAGTAGCTCCCCAGAGTGAGTCCATAGGAGTCCTGGAGCTTTTTTTCAATATTTTAAAGCTATAATAGAATTAATGTATGTGCTCATAGTGAGTCTGCACTAAACAGTAGGATATTTTTTTATTTGGCTGAAATATATCATCTCAGGATGGTATCATTGCTGAACTCATGCTAAAGAGAATAGCAGTTGTATGTGTTTCTCATTAATTTTAAATAAAAAATCCAATTATAACTTTTTTTAATCCTCATCTGAGGATATTTTTTAGAGAGAGTGGAAGGGATGGGAAGAGACAAAGAAAGAGAAACATCAATGTGAGAGAGGCACATTGATTGGTTGCCTCCTGTACATACCCTAACTAGGGCCAGGGATTGAGCCTGCAACCAAGGTACATGCCCTTGACTGGGAATTGAATTCGAGCTCTATCCACTGATAGAGTTAGGCCTAAATCTAACTATAATTTAAGGAATGCTTTTGTTGGGGAAAATTAGACAAACTATTTCAAAATATTGAATCACTAGAGAAAAAAATAATTCAAAGAGCTCTTGGCAATTGGGGAAAAAGGAGACATATGTAAGAAAATAAATAAAAAATAAAAAAAGAACTCTTGGCAGTATACCACAATGTTGATGATACATTTCCACTTTTAAAATCAGTTTAGCTATGCATCGTTTTTAATATTTTTGAATTTTTGTATAAAATTAGATGAAAAGCAGATCAGATTTTATTTCTAAGCTGCTTTAAAGTTGCTTGACAATTTTAAATGTCTACATTTTACTTTCTACTCACAAGAGAGTAGGTTTTTAAAAATGCTTGTACTCTAATCACTATAAACACCCTCCTTAGATTTAGCTACTTACTAAATTTTTCCATAAAGGTATAAAATTCAAACAAGAGTAACTTCTAATTTAAAATACAGTTACAAATATATTTAAAAGAAATTTGAGCCCTAGCCAATTTGGCTCAGTGAATAGAGCGTCGACCTGTGGACTGAAGGGTCCCAGGTTCAATTCCGTTCAAATGCACTTACCTGGGTTGCAGGCTCCTTCTGGCCCAGGCCCTGGTCAGAGCTCATGCAGGAGGCAACCAATCGATGTTTCTCTCTGTCTTTCCCTCTCTTTTCCACTCTCTCTAAAAATCAATGGATAAATATCCTCAGGTGGAGGGGGGAAAAAAGAAATTTGGGGGAAAAAAGGTCTGTAATCATACAGTGATAGGGAACAGGAGATGATAAACACTTTTACAATGTATTTACCATTATCTAATAATACTTTAAAATTCAAAAATATAAACTGATTTAAAAAATCAAAAATATCCCAAAGATCCTTTAAAATTTTCTTAACCCTATGACACTGTCAACATCTGAAGACTGTGAACTTCAGTGATTTTTTTGTGTGTGCATTGTTTTACAATTTCTTTAAAGATTTCACAAACATACACAACAGTTTATTTAAAACAGGATCAACACATCCTGGGAAACCTTGCTGCTTCTTTTTTTTTTTTAACATGAATGTGTGGTATGAAACTTCCAATAGTCTAGCTTCTGTTCCTCTAAGTACAAACAAGAAATGGTAGGATTGGAACACTCTCTGGCTATCAAATTAGGCAATTCATTGAGACCAAAGAAAGGAAAGACTGATTCTCGACTGTTCTCCCACTCTATCTACACAGTATAACTAGGATGGTTTTTATTAAACTAATCACCAATTATTCTAGCCCTAGTATTTCAGATGTTGTAGGTATCTTAGAATTCATCCAGTCCAAACCCTGCCCCACAACTTACTCATAGAAATCAGAAGCCCAAAAAAGGAAAGTGATCTACTCACCAGTTAGAGCTAAATCTAGCTCGCAAGATACCTGCCAAATGTTCTTTCTTCTATCATAAGTTAGAAATAGTCTTACTAAAATGTTACCTCTTCCTATAGGTTCTTATGCTCCAACATCTACTCACTTGTTGCCCTCACATGTGGCCTCTTCCAACGGACCGTCTGCTCAGATGAAGTTAGAGCCACGTTGTCATGGGCCTCTGACATCCTTGGTTCACATACAGACATCTTGCTTCCCTGATACATGCACTTCAGACTTTACCACAACTTTAATTCTACCTTCTCCTTCAAATGGATAACCAGGTAACGCATGGTTTTTGGCTTAAACTTGATGATTCTTCCTAGTCTTCATTTGTTTGATTCAATCCTCCAAAAGGTAAGTGCCTATTGAGTACCTAAGCCTTTTAGCACTCTTGTAACTTCTTTATTTTGTTGGCCTCTCAAGTTACTGAACAGATCTGTATTACAGGCTTCTTGAACCCAATCTTCTGTCTCAATCCTGAACAGATGGCTCCTCAGGCCTGGGCAGAACCTCTTCAGCCTGTTCAAGCTATTGCTTTTCTTGCCAGTTCCTGGCTTCTGCTGCCCTCTGGCAGCCATTGGTAGCATGGCAGAATTTGAAATAATAAAGTCATGGCTTTACTGAATTTAAATTACTCCATATGTTGTTTCAGCAGCATGTAAGTAAAGAAATTGACATATAATTGGTGCTACTGTTCTATGATGTCCCCACACCTAGGCCTGAGTAAGAACCTGGGCTACAACAGGGCTAATGGCAATGTCTGCACATGCAATAGATTCTTTTACACCTCAATTTCTTTGCCCACATCTGATGCCTTTCAAGAATCCAATTCTTTAATCCCTTCACCT